CAATAGCTGACGAAATAATAGGTCTAAATATAAATGAGACAACTGCAATAAATATTCTTCAAAATACAGAACGAGCCTATCCTAGGATTAAATTTGTAAATACATCAACCCAGGAGATTCGTAANCTATAAACGATTTTAAATTTAAATTGAGTTATGAGACCTGGGATGATATATTTAATGAAAATGATGTAAACAAAATGTTTAATAATTTCCATAATACGTTATTTAAGGATTTTTTATTCGTGCTTCTTAAAGAAGAAAATTATTGTAAACAAGAAAGAGAATAGTTGGATGACTAGAGGAATAAAAATTTCACTTAATCATAAGCGTGAGCTATATTTGAATATTAAATATAATAATGATCAGGCATTAAAAGATTTCTATAAACGTTATTGTAAAATTCTATCAAGAGTTATTAAGGAGGCTAAGAAATATCAATACAATAAAAAGATATTAACCTCCAGCAATAGGATCAAAACTATATGGAATATTGTTAAAACAGAAACAGGTAGAAAAACAAAAAAAGAAGGAATATCATTAATAAATCATAACGGTCTGCAAATAGATGATCAGCACATAATATCAAGTATTTTTAATAAATATTTTTCGTCAATAGCAGACGAAATAATAGGTCTAAATATAAATGAGACAACTGCCATAAATAGTCTTCAAAATACAGAACGAGCCTATCCTAGGATTAAATTTGTAAATACATCAACCCAGGAGATTCGTAAGATTATAAAATCATTAAAAACAAAAAATTCCCATGGGTACGATGAAATTTCAGTTAAAATTTTGAAATGGAGTTCCCCGTATATAGTCTCCCCACTAACTTATATATGTAATAAATGCCTTGAAAAAGGTATTTTTCCATCCAGATTAAAATACTCAAATGTGAAACCTATTTATAAATCAGGAGATAAACTAAATATAGCAAACTTCAGACCACTATCTTTGTTAATATCCTTTTCTAAAGTTGTTGAGAAAGTTATCTACTTAAGAATTCACCAACATGTGGTTCAAAATCAAATACTGGCAAAGGAGCAATATGGTTTCAGAAGTGAATCTTCTATTGATAAAGCAGCTTATAATTAACACATGATATATTAACTGCTTTTAATAATAAACAGATTGTGGGAGGTATCTTCTGTGATTTAAAGAAGGCCTTTGATGTACTAAATCATAAAATCCTGTTGAATAAACTTGAATACTATGGCATTGTAGGGAAATTCAATGTCCTGATCAAATCTTACCTTACAGAGAGATACCAGAGGGTGATAATTCAAAATAATTCTAGAAATAGTTACTCTGAATGGGAGATAGTCAAGCATGGATCTATCTTGGGCCCTGTATTTTTTCTTTTATTTATTAACGACCTGCCTTTGACGGTTTCTAAAAATAATACATTAGTGCTGTATGCTGATGATACTAGTATGATTGTAACTGGTTCTAATCCTGTACACTTTTTGATGGAGATAACTACNTTGATGACTTAAATAAGTGGTTTAGGAGTAATCTGATTTATTTAAATTTTGACAAAACACATCTTTTACAATTTCGGACTAAAACAGTCAGAAGCTTGATTTAAACATTACTTTTGCAGATAAGCATATCACTGATCTTACTAATATCAAGTTTCTAGGATTGATTATTGATGAAAAGTTGTCATGGAAGGGGCACATTGAACATGTTTTAAAAAAGTTAAGTTCCGCTTGTTATGCTATCAGGATTGTCACGCCCCTCATGACGGAGAATACTCTAAGAATGATATATTTTGCGTATGTTCATTCATTATTATCTTATGGTATTTTATTATGGGGTAATTCACCACATAGTCTTTGTGTTTTTAAGATGCAAAAACGAATACTCCGTATTATGACTAAGACTAGATGTAGAGACTCTTGTAGACAACCTTTTAAAAATTGGGAAATTTTACCATTTTATTCTCAATATATATTTTCTTTGATGATATTTGTTGTGAGAAATAAGCATCTTTATAAAACTAATCAAGAAATTCATGGTCTAAATACTAGGCACAATACTGACCTTCATTTTCCATCTGCTAGATTAACAATATATAATGAAGGGACATATGCTATTGGAATGAGGATATTTAACCATCTTCCTATAAATATAAAATCATTATCATATAAAATTGAAATGTTTAAACCAGCATTAAACAGATATCTTTGCTCGTGGTCATTTTATTCATTAGAGGAGTATTTTAATCAAAATAATTTGTAAATACTGATTGGATGTAAATGGGATTAACTGTATGTTATATTTTTTAATTATGTTTATCACTTAGTACTATGTGATGTTGTTTTATGATTAATGTTTAATGATTGTGACGTGTGAACTTGGAGTAGTAAGAAGTAAAAGGATGTATTTCTAACAGTGTATGAATCTATGTTGTTGTGATATGGCTTGATTTAATGTTACACCATGTATCTTTTTATGTTTTGTATGAGATTGTATAAATTTGACTAGCTCTATATCCTATGGGTGCTAAAGCCCCTGTACAGGATTTGTGGAGTTATTTAATAACAATAAACAATATAAAAATTATTCATGATCTTAAAGGTTTGTGTAGGTAGCATAAGTGGACAGCTCTGATGTATGTTTGGATCTATTGGAAGCACCTAAATACCTTACATGAATCCTCCTTATATCCATATTATTCTTTTTATGTGAAAGCTTCAGTGGTACTGCACACACGTTTTATAACTTATTCGACATCCTCCAGTCATTTTTTATCAACTCCAGACCCATGGAATGTAATATGTATGTGTGTAACTATCTATACTCCAACTTGTCCCACACCCTGCTCTCTAGGTTCAATTGGCTGTCAACATTTGAACTTTGTCATTAATGCATCAATATGACAGCTATGAGAGGTATAAGGAGTGGTAAAATATAAATGATACTTTGTCACTTTAATAGATGTTGTTAGCTCTTCTGTGAGTGTGTGTGTGTGGGGGGGGGGGCAATTAAATATGATAACTACATAAACCTACTACTGAAGTCAAGGTTTATTTCCTGTTGCTAAACCTAACACACTGTCTGAACAAACCCAACATCCTAACCTGTCACTGAACTTGAGTTTCATGTAAGGTTACTTGGCGTAAGAGAGGCCACTGCTTCCTTCTCATTTTCTTAAGTTAATACATACATATATCAACAGATGGCAGAGTTTTCACTATAGGCCAATTTCTTACACACAACTATCAATTAAAACCTCAAACTTTGATTATACTAAAAAAAATACAATCTCACAAATTCCAAAACTAGTATTACAAGATTCTGGATAACTTACTGAGGATCTCCGGGTCTGTCTATAGGAACCTTTACATCAGAATGTACAACACTGTCAGTACACTGTGATGTCCCATCTGAAACATTGCTGCCTTCAGCAGAAACCAACTGTAAAAACAAGAAATGTTAATAGAATTCCTTCATTTCGAATTTCATAATTAATACTATAATGAATCCCAGATACTGCCACACCCAATGAGCACAATTAGTATCTCTCCTGTACTTACCCATGAAACTACTCTTCCATTGAAACACGGTAAATGAGCATCATCATCAATAATCTCTTCTTTCACAACACTGAAAATTGACAACAGAGCAAATGTAAAGCATTAACGCAATTAATTGTTAATAGAGCTACAATTATTGCCCTGCTCAATTCGGCACCCTGATGTTTGATGTCTAATGTCAACAAACCATTTTGTGTTGGGTAAAGCATTATAATACGTCAAATTGTACAAACATTAACCTTCACTGGGATTTAATAAAATGAAATTGATCTACTTCACATCATACTATCATGACCGTAAGGTCGTGAAACCGCCTTCGCAAATAAACAGAAATGTTAAAGTACTTACCCAAAATCATCATCCATTGACTTAAAGAAGAACTTGTAGTTTGGTCGATTAAGAACATTCTTGAAATCTGCCAATGTAACGCGCTCGGGCGCAATAGTCAGTTTAACTAAATAAGGAGTTTCTTCATCATCTATATGATATATAATTTTTGTCTCTTCCATAGCAAAAAGGCCGAGTCAACAACTGAATCCCGTCATGAAGTCTTCAATATGGCAGCCATGAATCAATGAACAACTTAAAACAACAACAACAAAATGTTGACATAAATTTAGGAAATTAAACTTCGATCACGCTCACACATTGCTCGAGAATAAATCTCTCTGTAAATTTAGTAAGTAATGTGTCCATCTAAATATCTTTGTAATGTATGTCAACTGAATGTTCGTCAAAGTAACAATTAATTCGGATTTTGTAGTAGTGGAAAAAAAAAATGTACGCTCTTGATTGGTTAGTGTAAGTTGAGCGTAGTCAAGTATTAGTTGTAGAAAGATATCAAATACTATTTACTTTAATTTTAGATATAAATGGAAACATTCTGCTTATAAATCAGTAGTTAAAATCATATTAGGTCATAGTTAAGGTCAGTTTGTTATTTTATTTCAACTGGCTATTGTATACATTAATAATATTTTGTCACATGAAGTGTCTTTCCAATAAGATGTTTGATATTTAGCATTGGCATGAAATCATTAATTGGGCAACGGTAGTTTGTTGATACTCTTTGGTGGTGCCAGCTGACAAACAGCTGTCTGCGTTTACACGTGGCAAAGGTTAGTAATAAAAATACGTACGCATATATGCATTTTAATTTTTCTGCAAAAAAAATATATTTTATATGTTAAAACCGAGACTGCATTTTAAGATTTGAGGTTCATATGGCAGTGACTATGAAGTTTACTGCCTTCTGGTGTGTAACACCGTGATGTCTGGTAGATGCTAATCAACGTTTTGGAGGAACCTGCTGCCTCCATTCCCGAAGATGGGGGTAGAACAATTCAGCGAAACGTTGGTAACCGTTTACAAGACTATGCAGCGTCATATTCCAACAGTAAACATTCTAAACTGAAGAGTACCGTCTTCTGGGAAGTGTTGTCATGTAGTGTGGTTAAGGTTTACCCAGCGTTTCTGAGGAACATCCGGTCCCCTTGATCAGGGTCGAAGGTTTGCTGAGCAAGCAAACAAGCACATATCTTGGAGAGTTATGTAAACTCTTTGTGGATTATGACAATATAAAATTAAGTTAATATTACAGCCAGAAAGGCAATCTGTGGTAACATAGAGCCTTGTATTAAATCACCGTATTTTCCTCATATTTTTTACTTTAAACATAGCGTTTGCTGAACACAACACTTTACTGTTCACAGCTCAAGTAATGAATGGTTTGAAGGAAGGATGGTTCAGTGAGCTGAGCTCTTTATGGCCTGGAATAAGCCTCTCCTTGCAAGTGAATGAAGTTTTACATTCAGAAAAATCAGACTATCAGGACATTTTGGTACTGCAAACGTAAGAATATTGGTGAACATAATTATTAGGTGTAAATTATTTTAAAGTTAATGTATGACAGACCTTTGGCTGTTAGAATCTAACAAAGGGATTGATTTCACAGATATTATTTGTCAGTAGTTTTCAAATGAAATGAGTGAAGTCATTGCAAAGCCAACAGTTCCTTAACTGGTCAAGAAATTACTTGCCTCTTATGGAACCCAAATGTTCATCATCACATTCATAAGGGTCTCTCATTAGAACCTACCTCAGCCAGATAAATCTGAGTTCATATCCTCACACCACTCTTCTTTAAGATTATTGTTTTTATTTATGCCCAAGTCTGCCAAGCATTATGCCATGTTTACCAATCATAATTTTTTACTAACTTCCTGTCTCCTATACATTCTTTGTGCCCTGTCCACCTTATCCTACTTGATGTATCACCATAATATCTGATAAAAAGGTAAAATTGTGAAGCTCCCCATTATTTGTTTCTGTGCATCCCCTTATTACTTCCTCTTCCTTCAGCCCTGTCCCCAAACACTGTCAGTCTTTCATCTTCTGTGAAGATGGGAGACCACATTTCACATCCATATAAAAAGGGTAAAAAAATCATAAAGTATATCACAAAAACAGAAACAAGACATAATTTTTGCACATTAATAAGATATTTTAATTTATATAAGGAAACTTGTATGAAAATAATGACTCAACTGATCCCTGGACAGATCTCTGCATGCTCTTTGTAATGTATATTTCATCTTCACTGTTTGCATCCTGTTGTGTATCATGATTGGTGGTATTTGGCTGTCAACATACAATAAAAATAAACCATTCAAACTGCTCACATTGGTTTTATTTTATAGTTACTACATGTTTCAATCCACATTTGGGACCATCTTCAGGCAGGCTCATTAAATACATTTCTTGTTACTGAACTGTATATATTTCATAATGAGTGTATGAAAATATACGTATGCAAATATTCCTAAGATAAATGGTGATATTGTCCCTGTGCTTCATTAATTACTATGCCATAAAGACATATGGGGAGTGGAGGTATAGCTCCACCATTCTTGACTATGGCATTAGATGCGGGTGAGTGGTCAGCTTCACACCCTGCCCATCTTACAACGTAGGAAATTTCCCGAGTACCCGCTGGTTACAAGGTTTGGTGGGCCCCAGAGCTGGCCTGGATGCTGTGGAGAAGAGAGAAACCTTGCCCTTGCTGGAAATCAAACCTCGGTCATCCAGCCTGCAGCCCATTGCTGTACCAACTGAGCTATTCCAGCTTCTGGATACTTGTACCAACTCCATACTAACACAGCTGATTGCTCAGTAAGACATCACTGCATACTGTCACTGTGAAAGCTTAAAACCTCACAGTTAAATTCATAAGTGTTTAATTTTCTCACTTATCATACATGTTTCCCTTCAGAAAATTATTTTTTAAAACTTAAATATGTAAATTGTGATTGAATTTTCTTTATTGGGATTCAATTCATAACAGATGTGAATATTTCTAAAAGAAAACATTCCACACAAAGCAAATGAAACCCTTTAAATATCCACACTAAAACTAATGAAAAACAAAACCAAAATTGGAACCAAAGTGCTGTCATAAAAATTTATTATATTCATACCCTGCTAATTATAATGTTGCTGTAGAGAAGTTCTGCATTTTTCCTTGATTTTTGTGCTGATGCCACTGGTATTCTTATTCTACTTGAGAAAGAAACATTTGGTAGAAAATAATAAACAAGTTTAATTGAAGATTAAATTATGTTTTTCTTTATCTGAGTGTGCAAGACTATTTGTTGCAGAAAATCACATGGCCGAGCACTGATTTTGGATGGAATTATTCAGTGCACTGAGTCAGATGAGTTTGCCTATCAGGAAATGATCTCTTTCCTGCCTCTCTGTAGTCATCCCTCACCAAAGAAGGTAACTAAGACTGCCAGAATCTCCACTGAAACCAGATATATATTAGATAGTTACTACAGTGAAATCCCCAATAATGTTCCTGAGTTTAAAGTTCTTTTCCATTGATCTCCAAAGATACTTTAAATGTGAGCCTCCTGCATGGGTTGCCACCTTTCATACTCAGCTGTGGCAGTAATGTTGTAGACTAAAAGTTACTGGTACCCTTGCTGTATCTGTCTTCCCTGATTAAAATGTAATACTCCCACTCTAACCAGCTCTGATAGCATGGAGTGGAACTTTATAAGATGTGGATTTTCTATACTTCATTAAGCGTTACCATGTATGTTTACATTTTATTTAAATAAAAGTGAAAAAAGAATGTTAGGGATTAAGCTTGGCACAGTGAACTGACTGAAGATACCAGGTGCAGAAATTACTGGATCATGTGGCTTCAGAATGTAGACAAGTGTAGTTTGTAAGGCCAAAGTTTCAATGATTTTGTTGCTGTTGTCATTAGGTTCTCTGTACTGGACATAGAAGTTTGTGAGTTTTTATATGAATGGTATGCAGTATGGAATCACCCTAGGAAGTGTCAGAAAAAATACAGTGAAAGTTTTCCAAGCTTTGACTTCCACATAGAAACACTATTTGAAATCTTATTAGTAAAGTAAGAACAACTGGCACACTAACAGACAGGAAACCAAAATGTCAGTGTCAAACATTAACAAGAAAAGTTGGAAAATATTAGAGCTCTGTTTGAACATTTGCCTCATTAGCCTCTTACGGCCTTGTACTAGAAAATGGGAATATGATAAGGAGACCTTGAGAATCACAACCAGTTTATTGAAACTATGACATGTCCATATCATATTTGTCATTCTTTGCAGCCATGCGACCAGCAATGTCTATAATGGTGTCTTCAGTCAGTTTACTATGGTAAACTTGACGCTGAAGGAATATATTATCAGAAGAGACTTTGTTCTGTTTGAGTGAGCACATGAACAAAACAGACATTGGCCATCCCCAGAATAAAGTTCCACTTTATAATGTAAAAGTCTGTGTCGTTTTATCCTGAGTGCAAGGAGGATTGTAGATCCTGTGTTCTATTCAGGTGGCATTAATTCTAAGAGACATACTGTAATGGGCCAGTAATCTTCACCCTATGATACCACTAAACATTATGACTAAGCAGGCAAGGTTTCAGCTCATTTAAGGGCATCATAGTAGAAAACCTGTTCCCCAACATGGTCACAAGATGTCCTTTGTACCATAATGCTGATCTCACCTTCACAGAGTACATTGTTTTTACAGATATGTTCTGCCAACCAAGTAATGATGGTATAACAATTGCATTTCAACTACAGGATAGTCCATCCAAAAGTCTTTATCTTCAGGCATAACCTTCACCAGTAGACCAGTAGTCTGTTACAGAATAGGATGTGTTTATATCCCTGTCTCAGTCAATATGACATTCAATTAAAAGGAGGTGTCATAGGGTTTAATTCTAGCAATGGTTTACATCATTGGAGGCATCTGTTTACATACAACATTACAAAATACAGTGAATTTGTACCCATGTTCATAGTAGAAGTTCAAATATGCCTCTCTCTGGCCAAGTATAAGCACAAAAATAAGAATTAACACATTACATCTCAAACCAGTGAAGGCATAAAGCATTGAAATTTCCCATTAATAATGCTTTTAGAACATGAAAACCTTTTAATTTGAGAACCATACTTTGACATCATTTTAAAGAGCACATGCACTGCAACTGCATTGTTGAAATAAACTCTAGAATTCTTAGAAAAATTTCTCTATAAAATTAAATTTTTTATAATTCAAATTAATGGAAATGTGTAACATATCTTGCATATTATATGCTGTTATACACAAATATTATATTTTTATGACTCTCTGTTGGGGGCATGCGGTAATGTTCCTCAGTTTAAAGTTCTTTTCCATTGATCTCCAAAGATACTTTAAATGCGAGGTTGAGGCACAATGCTACAAGCCGGAAGGTCATGGGTTCAAGTCCTGATGAGGTCATTGAATTTTTTTCAATTAACCTAATCCTTCTGGCCGCACTATGGCCCTGGGGTCGACTCAGCCTCCAACAGAAATAAGTACCAGGAATTAATTAAATAATTTTCCTGAAAAGTAAAGCACAGTCGGCGGGTAAGGCTGACAACCTTACCGCCAACTTTGAGCTGATTGTCTAGATAATGTGGGACCCTCAATGTGTCTCAACCCTATGGGCCTTCACAGCCTGTTACAGGGATAGCTTTACTTTTTTTTTATATGACTGTTACAGTCTTCCTAGAACTATGGAGTTGTGTTGCCAGATTTTCAATTTCAAAACAAGGTGACATATCACTGCTTGGCAGGGGGACTAACTCTCTGCTGGTAGAATTGTAGAGATTTATCAGTAATGATATCAGAGTCCACCAATGGCTGAATGAGCACAATCCAGTTCACATACTTGCAATGTAATACAGGAAGAGTTGGTTTAATATTGTCATCTCATCCTTTCAGTATTTCAATGGACAGCCTCTCCAGAGATTCCAGCCACAAAATTCTGCATGCATTTCTTGCTTCCTCCTTTCAGGCTATCTGATACTGCAACAATAGTGTCATGATATAATGAAGTATAGATTTAGTTCCCATATGAATTAATTTATGTTCAGGTGCTGATAGTAGGTGGTGGTGATGGAGGAGTGGCACGGGAGGTGGCTAAGCATCCTGATGTGGAAAGTATTGTGCAAGTAGAGATTGATTCTCATGTCCTTGATGTATCTAAGAAGTTTCTACCGTTTATGGGTGCGGGACTCACCAATCCCAAGCTTACTCTTCATGTTGGTGATGGATTTCGGTTCATGGCACAACATCGACACGAGTTTGATGTCATTATCACAGATTCATCTGATCCTGTAGGTATGTATATAATTTATCACGTACTTGAGTGTGTGTGTGTGTGTGTTGCACGCAGTAAAACCTGTATTTCATGAAGCTCTTCCTAACAATGAATTCTAGCCTGTGGTCCAGTTGGAGTAGGTGGTCTGATGTGTCTGTTCCTGAAGCGAAGTTGTTTTAAGTTCTAATTATATGTGTGGGCTTAATCCCATTACTCAACATGAAAGACTACTGGTCTAGTGAGAGGAAGACACAGATACAACTTTTGGAGATGTAATGCCCAGAGATCACTTTTTACAGATAACTAGGATGATGAATGTGGGGAAATGATACCACAAAAGTAATCAGGCCATCACAAGAACAGAGAAAGTATATGATGTGACAGAACAAATAGAGAAACAGGTTCAGAAACTTTTTTTACCAGGTAAAAACATTGCTATAGATGAATCAACAGTTGGGTTAAAGTACAAAATATTTTTCAAAATTTATAATAAAAAACCAACAAAGTGAGGCATCAGATTATTTGTATTAGCTGAAAGTGACACTGGTTATGTTCACAGTATAATTCCAAACTACGGAAAACTTACAGGTGATGAGTGTAACTTGCCATACTCTGAAAAACCGTTAAAGAATAATTCTTTCCTTGATGGGCAGACTAGAACTCAGTGTGTCTCATATTGAAGACTAAAACCTGTTCACTGATTAATATTTTAACAGTGTTGAGTTGGTCCAACAACTTGACCAACTTTTGGGCAAAACTTGTCACCTAGTGGCTTGGTACACATTTAAAAGCCCATGACATCCTGGCTGTGGAAATTTTTCATAATGCGCAGACCAGAAACGGTTAATACAGATACATACACACAAATGTTTGAACCCAAGAGATTCCTACTCTACAAAGACATAAAACTGAAGGTTATAAAGTTAGCATGTAAGGTCGGTAGACAGCACAGGGAGTAATGATAATTGACAGCTTCAGCCACGTGAAGTCAGAAACTAAGTTGCATTTTTGCTGTGTTTCAGGACCAGCTGTGTGTCTGTTCCAGCAGAGTTATTTTGAGTCCATGCGTGAAGCTCTGAAACCTGGCGGAATTGTTTGCTCTCAGGCTGGAACAGTGTGGGCTAACATAGATATTGTAGCACAGACATTTCAGCACTGTCATCAGACATTCAGGAAAGCATCATTTGCCTATGCTGCTGTTCCAACATATCCCACAGGACAGATTGGATTTGTGCTTGGAAGTCTCAGTCCGGTAAGGATTTTAACATGACTGGAACTCACACTTGCATATTGCAAAGTATTATTTAATGGGAAATCCTCTCTATAATAGTGAGGTTTTTATAGGCTATCATTTTTTATGCCACTTGAAATGTGTATTCAAATTAAGACAAACCAAAGTCACATGGGTTTTTTTAAGGGGAGGATAAGAACATACCAGTAACAGAATCTTAAAAAGATTGTCATACTTCAATTTTGTAAAGATCTTAACAAGATGTGGGTCCAACTTGTCAAGAGTTCTGTCTATTATTAGTACTCAACATGTAAGATTTAATAAGACATTCATTATAAACTGTTAAAACAAATTAACTGCAGATATTCTGACTCAAAAACAGTTCACTTAAATAGACACAGAACAGATAATTGAATGATTATATCACTGGCAACAACTAACACTTTTTATCCTTTTTACTGTAATCAAAAAACAAAATTCTCAATCTCTCCACTTCATTGCCACGACTGAATGTAATGTTTATTGTAACGTAGTGGATAATTACTGATAAGGACAACCCTTTTCAGTTAGTATACAAACAAAATTTGGAACAGTCCATAACTGCATATTATGCTGATGGTTTTGATACCAGGCAATATTACAATTATGACATTCATTAACACCTGTCATACAACATTCTTTGAAACATGACAGAAAAAACGATTCACTAGTACTTAAAATTCTATAGTGTGGATAAATTACCTCATGTTCGTATTCTTCTCTTAGAAATTATTGTATGAATATCAAAATATTATGTAATGTGGAATTTTGTGATTTGTGTAGGTGATCTTATACTGTTAGGGTAGTGAACTTAGCCTGACTACCAGCACTTGAAAATGTTTAGAAACTGCACTGAAGTCTCCATTCTGTCTGCTTAACCTTGTAACTGAACCTGTCGACATCTCTTCAGCAGTGTATTTTCTTTCAGACAGTTCGTACTAGAATATTTTAGAATTCATAGTTAAAAATATATAGATATTTTGCAATGTACATACCATCACTCATTAAAACACCCCAGTTAAACTCCATCCACCAGCACTGTGCTACAAGGCATTTAAATCCCCCCTTCCTGTACAATAAAGTTTAACTGTATTATATCACGAGTTATCATACAAAGTCTGGTATAAACTTGCTATCAGGTGTAGTACAAGAAGTACAGTAGTATAATAGGCTATTTTTTAATTATGCTGCTGGAATCCCAGGGTATGCCGTCCAAGTTGAAAAAGATACATGTACAAAAATCTTTCCTTTAACCCTTCAGCGCGGTTTGCCGTACACGGTATGCCAAGCTGTAAGCTTAATTTCGAAGGCCCATAAATATGGAACAAACCATGCGAGCATGATGATTGCATTGGGCTGTTGTGAAAAGCATGTGCTCTCTGTTCGTATAAACATAACATTCAATTTCCTGCAGCTCTGCCAGTCAGTGTAAAAATAAACGCGTGACCTCACAGTGGTATCAGTGAGTGACTATGATATCAACATACCACAAAGATGATATGCAAAGCAAACAAACAAGAAACAAAGCTGGTGGCTGTTTGTGATTACAACAGAAACATGCTAGGAGTGGATCTGAAGGATCAAATGCTACAGCCCTACTTGCTTGAACAAAAGAAGAGTACTAAGTGGTATCAGAAGTTATTCAAGAGGCTACTCAATGCAGCAATACATAACGCAATGGTCATATATCAGTGTCTCCCGAATAACAAAACCATGGACACACTAAAGTTCAGACTTTCACTAGCATAAGATCTCGTGGAAAAACACGGTTTTGGTGTTCCTCATCCTGTATATGGCCGTCCGTCAGTTGAGCCGCCGCCTAAAGGACTCACAGAATGACATTTCCTGGAGCATATTCCGGCTACAGGAAAAAAGATGTGTGGTGTGTGCAAAACATGGTAAAAGGAAAGAATCTATTTATTGGTGTAGTGAATGTGAGGCAGGGTTGTGTTTAGATGGATGGAAGAAATACAATACAAAACTCAACTTCTAATCCACTTGCTTCCATCACTCAGATACAGGGCGCTCATATTATAAGGTAAGATTATAAAACCATCTTTTAAGATGATTTCAATGAAAAATTCATAATTATATCTCATATAGTTCAACAGTTATGATACATAATATAATTTAGAGCAAAATTTAAATGGGCAATTAAAAAATACTACTGCAGGAGGCCCCACAACAGCGATATTTAAATGCCCGCGCTGAAGGGTTAAAACAAAATGATTAAGACCAGTCAAGAAACCAGAATGTAGATTTAGACAGTAGTTTATTTGTATGTTGCTTTAAAACTAGACAAGGCAGATGAGGATCTTAATTGCATCATGTGTCATGGAATAACTTCAGTTCAAGTCAGCTAGGAAAACATTTTGACAGTTGTATTCACAGAAAACACCTTCACAATTTTCTGAGCAAAAAACAAATACAAGAACCTTGTATGTAATCTGAGAAGTTGGATTATCTCATGTTTCATGATCCTCTGTCCATGGTGTCACCTCATAATCACTCTCAATTTCTGAGTGGGCTTTTATTGCACGATTTTCGCCATCAGATATTTTAAATGTCTTTTTCATTTCCCCCTCTGCATACTATATTACTAGCTATTTTAACCCTGATTATTAATCCTAATAATAAGATTTATACATTATTAAATTCATTGCATATGATCTTTATTTTTTTATTTCACAGGAAACCAATTTTAAGGAACCACTACGGATATTCTCAGAGACAGAATTAGATTCATTTAATATGAATTACTACTCTGCTGAAGTGCACAGAGCTGCATTTATCCTGCCTCGATTTGCCAGAAAGGCTCTTGATGAGATTGTCAGTAATGTTACCGATGAGGCGAACACTGGTGACCGCTAAGCAATTACAGTATTAATATTCTGTGGGGAATATATATATCTGTCTTTTCATACTGTGAACAATTCTGTAATCCTTATGCAGAGAAGGAGTACCCTGACAATAATTTAGTGCAGGCATGTCCAACTTCAAACAGGTTGTGATCGACTTTTTAGTGTCAGAACTGCCAGTGATCTACCACCCCTTCCTATCGTCGTACCTTGCTTTAAGCAAAAATATTGGTAAAAATAACATGTCACATGATGTTTGTTGTAAAAGCAACATACATTGAAAGTACAGACTTACCTTGTTCGTTAAGAACAGAAAAACAGGAATGACTAATACATATTTTCCCTTCAAAATCTGAATATAATCATATTATAATACAAGTGAATTTACATGCTTTTCACGTATAATTTCCTTATAGGCCTGATCGACCAAAAATTGTCCTGCTATTGACTGGTCGATCACGATCAACACGTTGGACATGCCTGATTTAGTGCAATCCGAACTCTTTTCACAACCAGAATGATTGATTGGTTTAGTTTCCTCAGCTACTGAGTTGGACCAGACTGAATATGTAAACTGTCCATTCCTTAATAGAGTCGGGCAAAAATATCTTTTAAATTTTATTTCATGTCATTCTGTAGCTTGAATTTATTGTAGCTTGTAATTTTGTAACACGTATGGATGATAACTTTACAGGTTAAAGCCTTCCAGATGCTGTGGTCAATTTTTAATGTTGTTAAGCAGTGAGAAAAACATATTATTGTTATTGAATTTGAAGTATCTCTCTTAAATGAGAAGCACTGATTTAATAAAAATACCATGACAAAGAATATGGTATACTATAATTTTTACATAAACCAGAGTGTTTAGTTATTATAGTGGGGGAGCAGGTATGAAGGCAGGTTGAGATTCCATCACAGAGACAGATGAATGTTGCAGTATTTCAGCACTTGCTTCACTCAGAAACAACTCGTTCATTTAACCATGACAAAGACTGTATTATATAGCTCACTCACTCACTCATGGAGCTGAGCCCTTCTTGAAAGCCGCCAACTGTGCAGCTACTCAAGAACTTCTCAGCATTTTGTGGAACCCAAAGGTTCATTACCATGTTCAGAAGAGCCCTCCACTGGTCCCTATCCTGAGCCAGATCCATTCCATCCTATCTCTCTAAGATCTGCTTTAATTTTGTTCACCCCCCTATGCCTTGGTCTTCCTAGTGGTCTCTTTCCTTCTGGTTTTCCCACCAATATTCTATATGCATTCCTCTTCTCCATTTGTGCTACATGCCCTGCCTATCTCATCCTCCTTTACTTGATCATTCTAATTATACTTGGAGAAGAGTACAATTTATGAAAATATATAGCTCATTGCTAAAAAAATTTTTATAAACATTTTCAATACTACAAGTATCTGAGCATTCATTCTGTATCATAAACTACTGGAGTACTTTGGGTTTCCTAGTGAGAGAATCACCTGTAGTACATTGGATAGCTATGTCAGATAACTGCGCCATCATTTTAATAGCATCATGGATGACTAAACACCATAAGCACCAAAGCTACTGTCATTTTAGTGAAGGCCGCTAAGTATGAATTCATTCATTAAAAACTGCCAAAATCACTTTCAGAAGTGCTGTTTCAAAAGGACAACAAAAACTTGAATGAGTCACTGTTTTAGGCTGACAATGATCCTTACTGGTGGAATGAGTTATAATTTTATGATCTGATTTCCTTGCAGTGCTTTTATGCTTTGTTATATAAGGCAGTTACAAATAAAACATGAAATCCAAACCAACCAGACTAGAAACATGGGACTGGGACCACTGTCTCTCTGAAATTATATTCTACATAAACAAGATTTTTTTTATCTGGATTACAGATGTACTAATGTTTTAAGCTAAGAAACAAACTAGGTTGCCTTTGTGAAAAGTATATGTTTATGCAAGACAAAATTATAATAGCTGTAAAACAAAGACCACTAGTGGTACTAGAAACATGGCGTTTGCTCTTGCATAATCACAAAATATCTGCTGAATCACTGACAGTGTGTCTCGTCACACAATATTTTTGTTCCCTTATAGCAGCCCATTAGACATTGGCAATATTCCACTGCTAGCTCATTACAAATACCCCTGAAACACTGAACTGATATAAATCCTGGAATACTGCATTCTAGCAGCACCTCTTACTGAAAGATGCTGACTGAAAAGAACAGCAAGAGAGGGAACACATGACATCCCTTGCCGTGGTGCATTCTTTGCAACCTGTCATTTTATATGCTTCAAACTCTAGGATTATTATAAGAAATACTCAGATGGTGCTAATGTTTATGCAACTGCTCCAAAATCAGCTAACATAGCTTATTTCCGTTGTAACAGAACTACTCAATTATCATGTAAGATCTAAGAGTACACAGTCGATATTTCTCCAGATATGATCTGATCAGAAAATTGTTGACAGTACTGTATTTATGTGCCCATAGGTCATGCTTTATATTCCTTATATCTAGTTTGAAAGTAGGCATGCAATTTATACAGAGGTTTGGCTATTCTTATTTATGAAACTCCGTAAGAACATGGCATATGCCCATTTCCAGTGCAATTTATATACAGTAGAACTTGGTTATAACGTCATCAAAGGGACCTAAAAATAGTGTCGTTATAAACGAATGTCGTTGTAACCGAAATGGGCACTTCCACAGTAGCCTTATGTTAGTCACGTAAAAATCTACCAAAAACCGAGTTAAAATGTTGCATTTTTTAGTGAAATACGTAGTTAAGTACAGACTAACGTAACATTAACGTGGAATTGCCCAAATGTGTAATATCAAAGACATATTACAGCGCTTTTCACTGACAATACACACAATATTTCACGAATAACTTTAACTTTCTCTTCAATGCTTAAAACTTTCCTTTTCATTGCCATGTTTTCGCTACTGCACTTCTCTGGGTTTAGGCAGGAACACTATAGGGTAAGTAGACAATGTGAGGCCCTGTTAGACGAGATTATAGGAAAGGAATGCAGTTAACAACCTGCCGCGTCCTCTTGCACTATTCACGCAGTCCCACCCCACACCCTTGTTTTCGCATAAAACCCACGCTCCTCTTGCAGCGCGCGGTCGTATTCTTCCAGGACAGTCACGTCAGCAAGTAGAGAAAGTGAGGGCAGGCAGACACATCGAACTTTCCCACGATATCAGAGAAATTCAGGAATGAAAATGACGTTACATACAAGGTTAATGCATTTGTGCATGTTGTACTAAGCAAGGTATAAAAACAGTTGCTTTATGAGGAATTAGTTCGTACCATTGAATATTTGATGCAATAGACAAAGTGTCGCAGAAACCGATGTTGCTATAACCAAGTTTTACTGTCTATATAAAGCCCATTAGTTCATAGGACTGTGGTACACAGCATTATGCAACACAGATGTATGATGTAGCATACTATAATGAATGCACTAAGAAATACAAAAAATAAATTTCATTTCAGATTAATTCCAGATAAAATTCAAGGATATTTATACAAAAGGTTTGTTTCCTGTTTCAAGGTACATGTATCTGGATGCTGCACCACCTGGGTCCTTAAGGGTTGGGGGGGGGGAGCAGCACACCATTTAATGTCTCAATGTATAAAAAGTAGTTTGCTGAATTTAAGATTTGTTTTAATTTAGAATGATATAAAAAGCACTTTGGTGGATAACTAATTTGTTTCTTTCTATGCCATAAAAAGCTCTTTCAGAATCTGCAGAGAAATTTCTTAGGTTACAAGAAGTTCACAGAGGGCATTGCCTCACAGGCCCTAGTCTTAGTGCATTTTTTTATCAAAGTCCCTTCCACTTACTTGTGGTGCTCAATGGACACTATGCATGCCTTTGCACATCTGTTCTACTGCAGCTTGTGCCGGGTAGTCTGGGTTCATTGCTTCACAGAATTCTGTGTGTATTCACAACTCCCGTTTATTCTGAACATCCATTACTGTCCCTCCAGCTGCAGATAATTGATAGTTTGGCTACACTACAAAGAAAGAACTTGCTGGCATTTTAGGTTTCATGTGCATTTTGTCTGTACGAGTATAAGACTAAATAAGGTTTTGTAACTGTGTATTACACACACACATACACACATGGAGGATTTTTACTCGCTTGATGCGTTCACAGCAACCAATGCACTACCTTCTGCAAGGCACATACAAATTTTGCCGATGAATCAGCTGATCTTTGGAATGAAGGGAAATAATTAACTTGTAGACCACTTCACAGCAAGCAGTGTGGTTCATGTGTGGGAGTTTAAGATTTGTCAGCAGTAGGCAGCAATTATCAGCTCCATTAGCCACTTGTTCTCAGTTTTGCTTAGTAAGCAGTGTGGCATGACATGGTGTGGTATACTTTAGAGCAACGTGTATTTCTGTATGACAGCTATGTGAAATATGGATCTCCTAGAAAGTGTTGGCGAAAATTTTGATATAAATTTCATGATGAAATAATTCCCAGGAAACAAAAACAATTCACAGTTTGGTGAATAAACTTAGAACAGGACTCTTAACAGACAAGAAATAAAAACATAAGCACTGAGTGCTTATTGAGAAGTTTCATGACAGAGGCCAGACTGTACACCTAGAAAATCACTGAAATGTCAAAATATAGTATAGGAATGGCAACACAACTACTGAAGCCATCCAGTGAAAGTTGGTGTGCTATAAGTGCAAGAAGGTACAACATTCCTGTGTTTTTTAATGAAACAGTCAACTTCAGAAAAATATCTACATATAGAGAGGATGGCATTTTCAACACCTCCTGTGATTTTTTAATTCTAACTATTTCATTCCAAATGGTATCAACCACCAGGCATGCTCACTCATCAGCAAAATTCGCATGCGCCTCACAGCTGACCATCCTTCGGTCACTATGAAGCACAGAGCTGTGAACTTAACAAATGAGTAAAAATCCTCCATATATATATATATATATATTTTGTGACATGTTGCGCAATGGAGGACAACCCCTCCCTACCCAGCAGTGACGTGGCGGGTGAGTCAGCGCTCTGCCCCCCCCTCCACACTGTGACATGGCATGCAGCGCCGCTGTCGACACAGCATCACGCAACAGCGGTACTCATTACGTAACAGGCAAACACTGCGTCTCTATAAGGGAACTACACGGCTGCCGAAGGCAGTTAAA